GAACAAAGAATAATAGTATTGCTAGATTTCATATCATGACACTCTGTGATCAGCACTAGGTCCTATAGTGTCTTTTTTAAAAATTTAAAGAAAGACTAAACAAAACAGAAAACAGGTAGAAATAATACACACTTTCAAAGAAAAAATAAACAATAAGAAATAAATAGTTGATGATTATAGATTTTCTTACAAATAGTTATTCAAAGTACTAAAGTAGAGCATATAAAGTGCAGATTCAAACAGTGAGACTGCAACCAGTTCTGTTCAACTATCCAACAAAAACTTAGAAATATGGTTATCAATCATATACACTTAAACATCCATGCAGTTATCCATATCTTCAATTATGTTGAGACTGAACAAACCCAAGCAGGCTAATATCACTCTGAACAAAGAATAATACTATTGCTGGGTGTCACATTATGACACTCCAGGATCAGCACGGGGTATTTCAGTGTCTCTTTTCCTTCAAAGTATCTGTTCATGTCATCATGTGTCAAAGATCAGTTCTCATAAACTGTTTATAGATTCTATACATGCAGGAGTCTTAACATGTATTTCTATCCTTTCTATATTAGAGGGAGAAATAAAACAAAGCAAGACAAAATAAAACATTCCTAAAAACACATGAAATGAAAAAAACATATAAAACCATTGTACAGAGTTCTACCATGGTTCCTATATTGTCTCTTGTTATTTCCAATAGAATTGGCTATATCATCAGACGTAGTATAATTGAATATATCAGTACATAATAGTATTAATAAAAATACAACATTGTGTATAGTATAGAACTTCAAAAACCAGCAGTTATCAAACCAGAATGTGTATCATAGAGTCTTGTCATCTTCAGTGTAGTTACCTATACTCTCAGACTTGATAGTATCAATCACATCAGTTTTGAATAAAATCTTCTCTACCTCATTTCTCTTATGCCCCTTTTTTGCCATCAGTTGTCTGCTTATCTTTATTCTGTTTTCTGCTCCATTCATTGAGGCCTCTCTGCCACTGTTCCTGGAATTCTAGTACTTTTCTCTCTCTCTAGAATGCCCTGCAGTATTCTCTGTAGAGCTGGATGATGGTTGCGAATTTCCTCTTTGTCTTGGAAGCATCTTGTTTCTCCATTAATTTCTAGAGACAGTTTAGCAGGGTATATCAACCTGGGATGGAGGTTATTTTCTTTCAGGGTTTAGAATATTTTGCTCCAGGCTTTTCTTGACTTGATGGTTTGTGTTAAGAAATTTGCCGTTATTCTGATGGGCCTTCCTTTATAGGTTATCTGTTTCTTGTTTCTAACAGCTTTTAATATTCTATTCTTATATTGAATTTCTGGGATCTTGATTATTATATGCCTGGGTGTAGCTCTGTTTTGGTTGTAGGTGGCTGGAGTTCTGTATGCCTCATATATCAGAATATCATTTCCTTTTCCTATGTTTGGGAAATTTCCTTAATTATTTCTGTCCATAGCCTTTGTAGTTCCTTTGTTTGTACCCCTGCTTCTTCATTCACATTCTTTATTCTCAAGTTATAGATCCTCTTGTCGTCTTCTAGCCTTTGTATTGTTACTGCTTGTTTCCGTGTTATTTTTAAAAAGTTTTCCTTTTCATAATCCCACATTGCAAAACTGACCTCTCCAGTTTGAATAATCTATCCTTAGTTTCTTTCAAGCTGATTTGCCATCTTTCCATAGAGTTTTTAATTTCCTGGTAATCTCTTTGAATCTGCTTCATGTATTCTATATTTTGTTTATATTCTTTCTCAAATGGTTCTCTCCTTTGTTTGAGTTCCTCCCTTCTTCCATATGTGTCTGCTTGGGGGGTACTTAGTATCTGTTTTATTAATCTTCTTATATCTTGCTTTACTTGGCTAAATATTTCACTTTTGAACTCATCTATGAGATCCTGAAGATATCTCTTTATGTCCACTGGTGCCATGTCTGATATTGCATGTTTGCTGTTCTCATTCTCCTTTGTATTTACCTGTTCTGGGTCAATGTTCTCAGGGTTGGGGCCTGGGGACTTTTGTTGTTGCTTCCTCTTCCCATCTTTTTTGCTTCTTCCAGGAGGCCTCAGTTTCTTTCTTTGTTGGTTACAATTCTTCTAAAGCACGCTGGCTAGATGACCCCTTCCACTCGTGAGTTGCAGACAGGGACAGCATATACTCGCCCCTCCCTCTGGGTCAGTCAAGCTGCTGTGCCCTGCACTGTTATTACTTTCCACCACCTCCCTTTTGGATCAGTCAAACTTCTGGGGCTTCCCTGGGTTGGTGTGGTTAGTGTGCACCACCGCTGTAGGGACTTGATTTTGGATAACCTATTGGGTCTCAGCCAGGTCACATGACCCAGGCCTATGTCACTCCACCAATCCCATTTGGGAAGGGAACAACTGGCTGAAGTCACGGCTGCCCCTTGTACTTGCCAGTCCTGCCCAGTCTCAGAATGTCGTCCACCAGGAGCCCCACTTCCTGTGGAATTGCTCCACTCCCATCACTCACCACAGGTCAATGTGGGCTCCCCACCAGCTCAGCTCTCCATTCAGCTAGCTGACCCCTGACCTCAGTGTGACTGTGCTTCCAGTGAGCTGAAACGGCGGGACCTCAGATGGTCGGCAAGTGGCCCACTGTGGCGGGAGCACTGAACCTTTAGCTGTTCCAATAATAGCACTCCCGGGACTTGGATTCTTTATCCCACTGGGTATCACTAATGCAGTGTGAAGTACCCAGGGTTTGGGGCTTTGCAGTTAAAATGTACTTCACAGACAATAAGGGCTGGAAAATCACATTACCGGGTATATCTAATATGTATCACAGTCATATTCCTTATTTCATTTAAGCTTTATTACACATTTGTGGATAACATAGACACATATATTTTTACTCATATTTTTATTTTTTGAGGTGAGATCTCACTATGTTGCCTAGCTTGATCTCAAACTCCTGGGTTTAATTGACATCCTGTCTTAGACTCTGGAGTAGCTGAGGCTACAGGTGCATATAATGTCTGGGTATATTTTCATTTTTTTCTGAAAAAACTGAGTCTCCGGAGGTTGAGCAATTTGACCAATATCAAAAAATCAGAAAGTGGCAGACTGAGGATTCAAACCCATGCAGAGCCATAAAGTGACACTGGTTTTTTTCTTGATTCCACTAACAAAATGTTAGGAACATTGCAATTGTTTCCAACTACTGCTACCTCTGTTCTAATTCCAAAGTATATTAAAGACCAATTCAAGTCAGTGGCTTAATTTATGCACAGAAATAACTTTAAAGTTAATGGACCTGGGCATTTGACTCTCAAGGAAAAGAAGAAAAATTGTTATAACCAATTTCTAATATTTCTTCCTAATTGCCTTCCATTCTTTCCTATTGCAAGTCGTAGTGTCATTTCCATTCCATTTCCTCATCAGACAATTACCCTTTCATCAGGTAGTCTGAAATTCATTGCTGTCCTGATGGCAGTCATTATGGGAATCTGTTTTTTTCCAGCTGGACCACATGCTGACATATTTACCTGCAGTGCCGTCTGCAAGATATATGCTTCTTGTGTGTTGGCTGGAGAAGTCAAAGAGTTGCCCAGATATAAGGAAATTTTGGGCTTTCATGAGAAGGAAAGGTATAAATCTAGACTCTGTTTTCTCCACATCTTACCAGATGCTGGAGGATGATGTCTCTGAATGCATCTCTATGCCATTATATCAGTGAGTTTGGGTAGTGTTCAGAGTCACAGTTGAAAAGCAGAAATACCAGCCCTCTTCCCCTTCCTCCAACTGCAAAATGTCATTGCTAGTGCTGGTCAGGTTGGAAGTGGAGCAGTGGCCTTCAGAGGAGACAGGGCAGGAGGGATAGGGGCCAGAGTGGAGCCATGCTATACTTTCAGAATGATATGCAGTTAGGATGCTCAGGTCCTGAAATCAGCAGACAGTAACTCTTTAGTGATCACCAAGAATGAGTTTTCTGCCTTCTGAGTCACTGATGTATTCTTTTCCCAAATGTCTACAAATGGATCCAGGGACTCAGTAAGTACCTGAGACACTGCTATAGAAAAAGTCTAACTGTCTTCCTCTGAGAATGATTATTCCCTCTTTGAAACAGAGACCACTTTGATTCATATTTCCTTAATCATCGCACATGCAGAGTACTCTTCAAGTATTGCCTGGGTGCTAGAAAACATACCTGGGTTATGGTGATGAGATGGCTGGAGCTGGGGAGTCATGGGGAGGTGATGTGGAAATGATTTTCCTAAGTCAAGCATATTTGTTCTGTCACAGATTTAACGCCACCATGCTTAACAACTGCTGATGTATACAGGTACATGAGGTCCTGTTTCCTAATTCACTTGCTCAGAGACAGTTCTGAGAACTGTATGGTACCTAGTAACCTAAGCTGACAGTTTCTATGATATAGCCACAGACTCAATAGCTCATGACAAGTCCATGAGAACCAAGAAGGGGAAATCCAGCTGTCCTGAATAACCAGGATGGAAGGCCAGCCTTCCTCTTCTGCCTAACCTCCATTCTCGCTCTGCTTTTATCTGTATCATGCTGTCCCTGGGAATGCAGAACACAGAGAGATGTGTTCATTCATTCTGTCTCCCAAATGATACAAGGTAAATATACAGATAAATAAGTTTAGTATATTCCTTAAAGTTTTAAAATCTTTAAACTGAATATTACGATTGTGAAAACAATCCCAATTGAAAACAAAGACCAGCTGCAAGAAACTTGTCATCAGGGCTGGAGGTGACATAAAACTGCTGACATCAGGCACTTAGGTGTTAGCTAAAAGCTAAAAGATGAAGGAACACATGATGAGCTACATCGTTCTCACAAAAGAAAACACAGTGTATAGATTTGTCTTTGGAAGATGAAATCTTCCTTCACACTGGGCTTCAGGAAGAACGTGTATTCTATCCAAGACTTGGCAGCCTGTATCATTTCAACTGAAAGTGGCAACTTCAGCTTAAAGTAAGAGAGGCAGGGCTGATGCCCTTGCAAGGTACTCACCTGACCAGAGATGAAGCCCGTCGAACCCGTAGGAATACAGGTCGTCACCAACACCATTGCCTCCCCATCCTTCTCCTCCTCCTGGGTAAGGTGCATAGCCTGAGGAGGAGGCCCAGCCCACCCGCAGGTGTGTGGGCTCTGCTGTCAGGAAGGGGTCCACTTGGTCGATAATTAGCTCATAGTACCATTTCTTGTACTGGGCTGAGCCTTCAGCAACTCCCAGGAAGATGTTTGGTCGAATACTGTGAATTAAAAATGGGACATGTAGGATCTTCAGATGCTCAACATTTGAAAAAGCAACCTGAACTAGACCCAAAGAAGCACTGGCCCGATTAGACCTGGAGAAAGAGAAATTTCTTGTTCTTGTTATTGCTCAAGAGTAGGACACAGTTTTCAACATTTGGTCAAATTCTTAATGGAAGGTGTCAGGACAACTTTAATTCCATTATAAAACACAAAGGATTTTTCTGTAAATGTTTCTTTCAAGGTAATACAGTTATTGAGCAGCGACAATGGGTGACAATGCTCAAAATGTTGTATAAAGTTGTATGATTACAAACCTTTGTGTCTCTCTGTAGGTGAAAGAAATTACTTACTGGACTTCCATCTTCCGGCAAATTGGTTTTAAGCATCCTCATTTTCAAAACAGTAGCTTTGTCCTCTATGCCTTATTAACACTAACAGCATCTTAAAAGCACTAAAAAGTCACTATTAAGCAACTTGTTAAAGCAAGAGGCTTTAATATGCTCAGTAAAGTGGCTAAAAGCTTGGGACAGATCACTTACAAAAAGTATGCAGTTCACTGCCCAGTACATAAAGGCAAGTCAGTCCTTCGTTTCGTGAACCTACCGATCCTTAGTTTTACTTGGAGTCAATTCTCAGCGATGTGCTCCTCCTGGGCTGGGATTTTGGGTCATCTGGGATGGATAAAGACAAACCAGCTGTGCTAAGGAGGAGGTGGTCTGCATGGTGGCTCAGGTCTGCAGCCCATGCTGTGCTCAGATGGAAGTTCCTCCCTCGCGCTTGTGGGGTAGGGTGCAGGCTCAGGTGGAAAGTGAGAACCTAAGGCCTGCTCACTCCAGGCCCCGTACGTGTACATGATTCACATCTACAGGAAGGTCATCTGGCAGGGTCTTATCCTGCCCTCACAGACAGCAGCCATATGTCTGAGGTCATGTGTCAGAGGACACAAGTACCCAGCACTCACCTGGGACATCCATTCTATTAAGGAATCTTAAAAGGCATTTGCATATCAAAATAAATATACTATGAAGAAGGTACAAGATGTGTGCTTGTTTAAAGTAAAGCACGGAAAGTCACTTAAGTTTGCCTCTTCAGCCGCTAGGTAGTACAAATCCTTCATCTTCAGCAACTTCAAGGCAACACCTTGAGAAACTGCTCTGTGGATGGAGTACAAAACCCTAGTGATAAAATATGCATATTTGCCTGATCTTTTCTTACAGGATTGCACCTCCATGGAAGCTGTAGTTCTGATCAGTTCTATGTTTACTGCCAGGAGACAAGATAAACAGAATCATGCTTGGCATCTGGACTGATGGTGGCCTTACCTGGTCACATCATTAATTAGCCGTGTCTGCAGGAGCAGGTTTCTCCGGGGCAGTAAGTTGTCACAGATCAGGTTTTGGTTGGCTCTTACTGCAACCCCATTGCAAAGACAGAGTGAGCACAGGACATCCAGAACCTAGAGCAGGAGACAGTCATCAAATATCAGGACCACCAGGAGGACACAGAGAGCAGGATGGATCTATCGGCACCGCAAGGGAAGGAAGCCAGAGGCGTGAAGTGTTGGGGCTGGCAATAGGTGGAGAACCAGCTCAGAGAAAGGGGGCCTCTGCCCCTTCTCCAGAATAAATGAGCAAAGCCCAGAGCATGCTGCCTCCTCAGGAGAGTGGGTTCAGCTTCTTTCTAGATGTCCTGCCCTGGTCTTCTGTCCTGTACCTCCCAAACCACATGCCACTTGTGGTCCCATTCTGACAGTGGGTAAGAGCCTGAACTACAAAGCCCTGTCAAGGTCACAACTAGGGTATGATCAAAGATACAAAATTCAGATCCCACTCGCTGAGTCATGTAATGTAGAAAGAGGCATAAAGGACCCTCCAGAGGCCTCAAACTGAAGCTTCAGGCTCTTCCCAGCTTTGAATCCTTCCCACAGTTTTGCACTGAGAGCTCAGATAGTTCTCAATGAAAAACCACTTAATACTTAAATCTTTGATCTAATGTGATTTTTCTATACAATGGAGTACTACTCAGTCATAAAGAAGGATAAACTTGAAACATTTCTAGACAAATGGAGGCACCTTGAGACCATACTCTTAAGTGAAATAAATCAGATTCACATGTAAATATTACATTGTTTCTCTGATGTGAGAAACTAAAAGTGTAAATGAGGACCAAAATGTATATCACATATTGTGAAATTGGAAGAGATTGTTCAAAAGGAAAGAGGAATTAGGGAGGGGAAAGGGAGAAAGGAAAAGAAAAAGGAAGAAAAGGAGAATAAAATGGAAACAAAGCTTTTGTAAATAAGGAGGTGAAAAGAGGTTGAAGGTAGGGGAAGGGAATGAAAAAAAGGAGGAATCAAAATATGTCATGTACAGGTACAAATTCCCTACGATGGATGTGATATATATATATCTAAATTGCTTTTTTAAAAGCTTAAAAAAGGAGAGAAGTCACTTAGACTGTCATTGAGTGAAGTTCTTTGTGGAAGCAGGCTTGGGAACTTCAGCTGCAAGCTCAGATTCTGGTTTTTGGGTCTCCTACTGTGATATCAGCAATGCTTCTTAGGATAACCTTAAATTCCTAGAAATTAGCATTCAGAATATTTCACATGCCATCTTCATTCCACCTGGAAGGATCGCAGACCTGCAAGAGTCCAGGAGGTCCGTGAATCTGACAGATCATGGTGGCGCTGCTCCTGCTCTTGATTCCAGCTGCCTGTGAAGCTAGAGTGGACCCTGCCTCTTCCTCCTGTGGGCTTCTGCTCTTATGCTCTATCTCACTGGGCCCTGTACTCTTTTATTCAGACTCTGTATTCGGAGTATGGCAGAGCAAACTGCTGGGTCAGGCACGGTCCTTCCCTCTCCCTCACAGCAGGCTGTGCAAACAGCAGCTGAGGAACCAGCCGCGGAGTGGCAGGCTGCACTGGCAGGGAGGTGTGCAACCACGTCAGCCGCCAAAGTGGCCACTAAGACTCGGTGCTTAGTGCAGCTGGATCACTTCAGTTTGTTAATAGAATTTGCGTCCTTAACTCTCACAAATCTATTTTCCACCTGTCTCCTTGAATGTCAATTTTGTTCTGATAAATACAAAGCACGTTTATGGAACAAGGAGAAAAGAATGCCAAAGGCAGTTTTATAGAGGACCTTCACTCCACAAAAAACATCAACTTGGGAAACTGAAATCCAAATGATAACTTCTCATTCTAAGAACCATTGATGAACGTGAAATTAAATGCTTTTCATCCAGCCGATCACAGACTTTCATCTGTTTTGCCTTGGAGTGATGCCTGCAGGAATCTAGCTGTTACAGCCAGGGGAAAAGCAAGCTTAATGCACACACAGTAGAAACAACAAAGAGAGAAACAGGCTCTTTGAAAAGCTCCCAGCCTAACAGCAATGCCTCACCGATAAATAAATGATGTCACAAAAAAGAGCAGGGGTATTGATTAGCTTTTAGAAGGCATTTCTTAGTGTAAAACTGGACAGGGACAGACTTGCTTTTCTTTGAACAGAAAAGGGAGTGTAGCCTACTTTACCACAGAGGCACAGGCATTGTGCCTAGAGGTATCCATACTTTCTGAGGGCAGCATCTCCCAGGCCTCTGGAAAGCTTGGCTGATGAGGCAAGTGCTGCTGAGTGCTTGCCAGACCTGTTTCCTTCTCATCCAGAGCCCAAGATGAGGCTGCATGTCCCAGGCTCCCTTGCAAGCCTGTGGGGCTGAGTTCTGACTCATGGGAAGTGGCTGGATCTGGTGTCCCAGAAATGCTCATGTAGAGCCCTTTGTGTATGTGCTCTCTCCTGTGCTCCAACAAAGGGTTTTGCGGGGTTTGGTAGCACATGCCTACAATCACAGCACTCTGACAAGCTGAGGCAGAAGGACTGCAAGTTTAAACTTCAAGTTGACATGGGCAATTTAGTGACTTGGTGAGACACTGTCACAAAATAAGTAATCAAAAAAATGTAAATGGGCTGGGAATGTAGCTCAGGGCAAAGGCCTGGTTTCATCCCTAGTACTACTAAAACAATAAGAACTACAACAAAGATTCATGCCTACGGGCTCCTGTAACAGTGATGGTGAACCTTTCAGAGCTTTTAATGATACTAACAGCCTGCTATGGCACTGTGCATAGGTGTCACTGCTATAGACCAACAGGGCTGGCATCTCTTTGAACCTGCTAGCAATACAGATGCTCAGAACCCCATCTTTACCAAATCAGAGCCTTCCTGTGAGCAGAAACTCAAGCTCTATAGGTGATTCCCCAGCTCATCATGGACTGTGAAGCTCTGTGCATAGAGGACATGTATCTTTAAAGGAGGAAGAAGAATGCAGTCCTGCCACTGACTGGCCTCAGACTGAGACAAGCAAAATACATCTCTGCACGAAGTCACTGAGCAGCTGAGGCTGTCCTCTGGAAGCAGGCTTCCTGATCAGCACCCTTCCCTGGAGCTCACTGGCTCCTGGTTGTTACTGCTTTCATTACCGAAGCCACAGTTCCTTGGACAGCTTTCCTTTTGCTTTGCTCTCTCTAGCCTCTACCCTAAACTCTGGAGTAGCTGGGACTTCTACTTTAAAGACCAGAAGGACATGATGAATATGAATGTAAACAGTGTTGGGCTGTTGCTTTTTGTCATTAACTTTTGTTTGTGAAAAGTAGTTGTTACAAAAAATGCAAACTCAGTTTTTATATCAAAGTTTTTATATCAAGTCCAATATTTTAAAAACCAAGTGCTTTACACCTCTGGAGAACAGATTTCCTTCTCCCTTTGAATGAGAACTGAGTGGCTGGGTGCTTCTGGTCTTGCCATGGCTTCCAGGAGACTCAACTGGTTTTATGCAGCTGTGTGGGCGCCAACACTCTGAGTTTGTTTATATTCTGTCCTCCTTTAACCTAAGTTATACCTGAGACTCTGCTTTACACTTTTTGAGACCCAACGCCATTATTATTTTACATACAGTTTTCTCACAGGTAGCTCCAAATCTTTATGGAACAAAGAAGATAATAAAAATTATTTTGTCTGTGGTAACTTTGACCAGATTTGGAGTAAGGTCAGTCGTGGGCAAGTAGATGGGTATATTTTATTAATAAAAGCTTACTCTACATAAAACCACGGGTTGATTCCTGTAGGCTTTAGCAATTATTCTTTCCACCAAACAATATCAGTGTAAGGCACTTATTCTGTGGCACGAGGTCTGCATCCCTCAATTCGAGGTGAGACTGGAGTGGGTTCTGGCTTTGCTCATGTATTCCTTTTACTCATTCATTAAACCTGTAGCAGACATATATGATCACCGCACTGAGAAACATTCAAGTTTGTCACCCTGAGCGTTACAAAAATCACGCTACTATGAAAGAACTTCCACAGGTGTGAGAAACATACGTGTGAAAATTCCTAGCATGAAAGGCAGCTTGGAATACCATTAAAACACAGAACACATTATTTAAGGCTAGAGGAGAAGGCAATTTTAACTGGGATCAGAAAAAGCTTCATGGAGACAGTGGCATTTGAACTAAGTCTGGAAGGGCAGATGAAATTCCAGTTTAGCTTTTAATTGACCAGAGAAGAATTTTGATGGGACCTGGAGAAGTGGTAAAGGGTCGGAAAAGATGGGCACCAGTCAAGTCACTGAGAGGTCAAAGGGCAGAGGGCACTCAGGAAACAGAGTGGGCCCTGCAGCCTATTCCTGTCCCCTTCTCTCCAAACGCTGTGTTCTTCCTCTGCAGCCTTTTGAACTCAAATTTGATTACACTTCAGATGGACTGTGATGCTTTGCATTTCTGTGACAGGCTGGCAACTTAAGTATTTTAGAGAGGAAGGAGAGGCACAATAATGGCCAGGCACATATAATTTTGATTCTAAATGTGATTGGAGGTGCATGGGACAGAAAGGGATTCTTAAACCCACAAGATGCACAAATTTTTTAAAAGCATGATTTAACTCTAAAGACTATCTTGGATGACAGAGGCCCTTAAACTTCAGTCTGAGAAACAGTAACGCAACATATGAAAATGCCTTCTAACTGTGGATTTTCCACTGCCAAGAGTTTTGTATGGAGATAATTATAAAAATAAAAACAGAGGACTGAACATGCTCTGTTAGAATATTTAAATTTTGAAGAATATGGTCATAGACATCCGCTTGAGAAACACTGGAAAGAACCTTAAACTTTTGGTCCTAGACAGTCATTGTTGAGCTGTGTGACCCTTGGAAAATTGCTTGACATCTCAGGGACTAGTCCTGGCCTTTTTTCTGCCTTTGTGGGTAAAAATAACAATGATGCTACTTCAGAGAGTATAACAAGGCTGAAATGAAAGCACATGATCACTGGGCCTGGTTCCCAGCATTAGTTAAGTATAAAATAAATGTTAGTTCTCATCATCATTATTGTTGTTCAGAGGATTTTTGAGGTTTCCATGATTCTAGAAATCTGCATATTTTGAGTCGCTGTCTTAATGGAAAAATAAGAGAAGGGATAAGAAACTTCTGAAAACTCACTACTGGAGTAAACATCAAACTGAACAGCAAGACATTTGCTGGCATTTTCCAACATGACAGACACTGTGTTATGATGGAGGTTTAGCCTACATTTAGCATGTTCTTCATGAAACTACTATAAAGACACTGCTGATGACTTGAGCCTGGGTTTGGAAATAAAAGTGATCAAACTGAATAATCTCTGCAGAAGGATCTGAGTTCATGGCAAAGTACCTTTGTCCAAAAACTCATCAAAAGATAAAAAGGAGACATTATCATATACTGAGATCACATGGCTCACTGTGACAACATTGTCAGAAGCTCTCAAGCACTGCCTTGGCTCTTGGGAGGCTGGTATACCAGGTAACTCATCAGATCAGGGGCTGATTTCTAGCAAACTACACTGGTTTTCTAGTTCTCTGTTTTCTCAATTGTGGGATGCACAGAGCTGTGGTCAACTTGCCCCTAACTGACAGCACAGAGTGCGTCGTGGCCTTTGGCGGAAAGAAGTCATAAGACAGATGATTATTTATGAAGTATATCATGTGGTATCATCATCCAGAAGCCCTTGGGGCAAGAACATGGGAACCACTTTCCTCCTCTTACATTGATACGTGGATCATGGCTCATGCCATGTGTTCCTCATGAGCTTTCTGGTAATTCTTACTATGCTTTTCAGACAGGAAGGAGTATGTTGGAATGTGGAAAATCTGTAATGAGGCTGGAGCTTTATGCCTGAGTTTGATTTATCACACGTGAGAAAGCAGTTACAGACCCCACATATTTCTTTCTGCTCTTTGCCAAGCAATTTCACAGATACTGAGAACCACGGGTTTTCTGCTCCCCAAGGATGTGAATCATGCAGTCAATACTGCCGGGGCTCATTCTCCAGGAATCAGTGAGACATGTCTCAAATATTTGGTTCCCCCAAATGATGGCAAGAAAGAAAACCAGGGTTCGTGCTGCACTCTCTAGTCTGCATAGGCACAACTGGTTATGCCACTGCACTAGAAATATCCTTCTCAGCTGGCCCACTAATCATTTAGCACACTAGCCCCCACATATGGCATATGTGAGAGGGATCAAGAGAAAACTCACCGTATTTTTAATGGACTTTGCCTCATAGGTCTTTGTGTCTTAGAGATTTAATTTTTAAAAAATAGATAATTACAATTATAAAGGACCTCAAAGATCAATATAGCATTCCACCATGAAAAGGGGGCAAAGTTTTCATTTTACAGATGAAATAACTGAAGCCCAAAGTCACAAAGTTGTTTTATATCAAGAAGAGGACTCAGCATCTTTGGTTTTTTAATTTGGTTTGAGTCGTTAAATCTGATTTCATTTAATAACCAGCTGAGTTACTACTTTAAATCTAAGGTCTGTATATCTTAGTTATGTAACTTGACATTGGAGGTTTTCCTAGCAATCTCTACGTTTTAGGGTGGGGAGCTTCTTGTGCTACCAGCCTTGAACATGGCCCAGCAGAGGGCCATGGGCTGTTTTAAGTGAGCTATGTTTTAAGAGTCAGTGCTGATGGGCAGGGTCTAGGAAGCTGTAGGATACTAATGAGGTCACCCACATTCAAGTGGCTGGCTGGCTTGGAGGGTGCTTGGAGGAAAGGGAGCTCTTTTCAAGGTTCTTATCAAAGTTCAGAAAGACTGTCAGCATGCTCTTAGGAACCCACAACGTGATGAAGCACACAGGAGGGAAAAGTGGGTAAAAGCAATCATGTCTTGTGTTCTTTTTACCAAACTCACCTTGTGATTCCGTCCATGTTTATCCAGCAGAGAGATGATGGACTTGATGTGACCTTCTGCTATCAGGTTTAAGGCTTCTGGACTTTCAATCAAGATACAGTGCAAAACCTCTAAGATACCTACATGAACACCACAAAAGTCATTTGGACATTAGGTCAACTGTGGAACTGACCATAATTTAGAACTCTCATAGTGAAAAGATCATCTTGAGGGAGAGAATATCATCAGTTATTTGAATCTATGAAATATTCCCAGCCAGAAGAGATGCAGTCATCTTGGGTGATTTCCCAAGGGCCAAGCATCTGTAATACACTGGTGAGCTCAAGTCAGCACTAACCTCATCTCCCTCTTCCCAGACAAACACATGATCTTTGTATTCAAAATACAAGAAACAGTTGTAAAATGGAATTTTTGATTTGGTCAAACCAAGTAATACTTCATTTAAATGTCTATATTATAATATAGATGCTTTACTAAAATTCTAAAGGTCATTCAAGCAATTTATTAAATATTCTGGATTTATTCTCAGAATAAGAATTTTTCTAGGAACCACCTCAGAATTGATTGTTATTTTAGGTGCACTAGTGTATCACGCAAAGAATAAGGGGTTTTGACCCTTTCTCTTGGTGCTTTATGGTCTTCTATATGGAGTAAAAGCCTAAGGGAGACTAAGTGGCCTGATGTCCACAAATGTAAGGTCACAGTGAAGCATAAAGGAAGTAGCTAACAGTTTTATTAGGAAAATTTCTCATTTCTTTTTTCTCTCAATGTTTTCATAACTTATCCTGAAATAGAATCTAACTCATGATAGGAGATGCTGAAGAGAAGCAAGGTTTAGGAACACGGTGACTGGCCCTTGGAGGGGCCCTTCCTTGGCTGGTGTGTTAGAGCAGGACACCTGCAGGCCATGAGAAAACCATCCAACCTCTCCGCTTGGGGGTGGGGGGGAGGTACACTTGCCAGGTGCAAGTGTCCTGTTAGAAACTGAGTGCGGACAGCCATGACGGCTGGCTTCTCGGAGGGCCTCAAGCAGGGCTAGAGGTATGACACAAGGGTGATTCTGGGGATGGTGAAGATTATTTTACCTTATTTCATGGTAACCCTTCAATTCTGCTTCTAACCAAAGTATGACAGCATTGAAAGGAGGTTTAGAAACCCAGAGGATAGGAGTAAATGGATTTGGGGGACAAAGATCTTTAGGTGACAGCTGCCTGGGGTGACTAAAAGACCTAGAGAGTGAAGAAGTATTACCCCCAAAAAGGAAGGACTGCAGAAATCTGGGTTAAATAAAGCCAAATGGTTGTCAGGGTGTTTTAGGGATTGACTCTTTTTGTTGAAACAATTACTTGAGTATTTGGCTTTGTTTTCAGTTTTACAGAAAAAAAAATTCAGCTTCTCCACTAAAAGGTTTCTGTAAATACGTACCTGAGGAAGATTCTAGCCTGTCCAATTTACTGATTAACCAGTCAAGGTTATTGGAGAATTGTGCGCAGTTGTTTCTGTTTCCACGAATGAGAGCAGCTGCAAACAAGGAAAGAGGATCGCGAAGGTTAAAGGGCATAACGATGCACATAAGCCCTGAGCTGTTGATTACATCATCTGCTTAGCAAATACAGGGAATGGAACATTGAGATTACTATGCTTAGCCCTTTGATATGATTTGATTTCTATATTAAGAAGAGTAAAATCTAACATTTGCTAACTCAATGAGCGGTCCCAGAGAATCTGCTATGTCCTGAGACATTTCCTGCATTGCAGGAAACAGAACAATGAAGCAGAAGAGGCAGATTCTCTGCTCTCATCAAATAAGGGTTAGACAACATAGACACATAGATTAATTACTTTAGGTAATGATAAGCAGGGATTTAATACTTGGTTGGTTACTGACTTTGGAACTCAACCTCCTAAAACATTTTCTTAAATCTAGCCAGACACTTGCTACCTTTCATGCTAAAAGAAAGCATTTCAGTGAATAGGTAAACTAATAGATAAATACTAACAACATCTACGGGTAAAATATCTGAAATCATAGTGGTCCTCAAAGCATGGGCCCTGGACCAGGAAATCACATCACTAAGAACTTATTGGGAATGCTAGGCCTCAGAACTCCTCTAGATCTACTGAGTTGGAAACTCTCAAGATGGAGCCTAACATTGTCACTTTAACCAGCTCTCCAGATGATTTCTATGCCTGTTTATCCTTGAAAACCACTGGTAGGTGATACTGCGCAGAGAGGAAAAGAGTGTGTTACGATTAGAGTATGAATCTAGACTACCTAACCTTTCCTGCATAGGACCAAATTAGTAGATGGCAATCTGGAATAATTCCAGGGAGATGGATAAACTCAGGTGAGTTGGCTTCACATGGTTGGTTTGTTGGGCTTAGGACTTCATTAAAGCTGAAAAGTGATAAATTTAGGATAAGGAAAGTCCTCCTCCAGAGCATCTGCTCTTGATCTTTAGAGTCCGTGAGGATGACATTCAGTTTGATCTCCTATGCTGTGTTTCATGTAGAAGTAAGCAGCTTTAGTAAGCAGGACAAGTACACGAATTCTAGTCAGGCTCTGGGGCCTCGAGCCATAGTGCCATCACTAAGTAGATAGGCAGTCTTGAGCATCTCTAATCAGCTTCCTTGTCAGTAAAATACAGATAATAGCAATAACTACCCTCAAAGCATTTCTCTAAGAATCAAAAAGATATTTCACAGATGGCACACAAAGATCAACAAATGTTAGCCACTATTCTTACAACTACCAAGTTTAAATCACACCCTTGCAAAGTACTAGAGTGTGAAGAGACCTTAGGAATCACAGCACAGTGATGATTCCACCAATCTGACCACAACATGAAGAACAGGTCCAGGCTGATCTTTCTGGGCTTTCTTCAGGCTTCCTGGAATGTCTAAGGCCTTTGCTCAGTGGGATACACACCTCAGAGCCAAAACCTACAGTGCTGCATTGTCATCCCAGCCAGTGTCTGAAGGGCTCCTGGGGCCACCTTCTTGCCTATGCTGATGTCTTCCTGCCCGCTCTCCACAACTGGCCGGTGGGATAGAGCCTCTCTAGCAGGTACCAAAGCATCACCACACTGGGCTTGGGAGGCACAAAGGTAGGTGCTAGGACATCTTAGGAGCCATCTTTTCCATTCCACCAAAATGAAATAAGTAACAGGTCAAAGCAGTGGGAGCCAGGATTGACTAACATGTAAACAAGTGAAAGAGCACAGAATTTAAAAGAGCTGTTTAAGTGTGCGAGATAGATAACCATACTACTAAGTTTTTGTTAGTTCATCAAACGGAATGGTTTGTGCTGTCATTGTTTGACTGTCTGTTTATCTTTTATGCTTTGATTTTGTAACTTGAACAACTACTTCTAAGGTAACAATATGTAATTTATCAACTAATGATTTCTTACTGTTATTTTTTTGAGTTTCTGTATTATGTCTACTCTTTTTTTCTGTTTTGCTTTTTTCCTTTAAATTAAAAAAATAAAAGTAACAATCCTCAAAGTACAGGTTGCAAAGTTTAGAAATGAAATACACTATAAATGTGTTCTATCTAGCCTTAGTTCCTCATTTTAAACATATAGAACTGAGGTTTGAAAAAAAATGGTGGCTTGCTAGGAAGCTGGATAGAGAACCTCCAGCTGCTAGAATTTGACAACATGGAGAGGGCCAGACAATTGGGGAATGATTTTTATTAACCCAGGAGGAAACCAAAGGGAAAAATAAAATTAGGAAGAGGAAGGAAAAGCATGGGTGGAGGGCTGAAGCCCAACAGGCTCACTGAGACTGTTCTGCTCTGTGCTGGGCACACCCTAGAGTCGGGTGTTCCAAAGTTGTGCTGAAGCCCCAGCTGTGGATAACGGGAGTCCATGAGTCCTGGGGCCTTGACGGGAGGACATGGCACAGTGTGGAGTAGAGCCAAGGTGGAGAGCTTTATTGGCTCTCGGTGAGTACTGGAAATTGGGTCCTGGGACCCTGTGGAGCAGCTAGAGCTGCATGGCCACGCCAGAGGAGGCCGCGGAGAGGACCATGCACCTGGGCACCAAAGCTGGATGCTGCACAGTTTTCTGAAGAGGCAGGATGCTGATCCAGACATAGAAAAACCACATCAAGCTAGAATTTACCTCTACGGAGGAAGAAAAAACACAAGTGGAAGGCTGGAGCCCTACGCACTAACTGAGACTGGTCCGCACTGTGCTGGGAGTGCTGGGAGTGGTGATTCAAGGTCGAGCTGAAGCCACAGCCACCAATAACAGGAATTGTTAAGTCCCGAGCCCTTGGCAGGAGGACGTGGCACAGCATGGACTGGAGCCAAGATGGAGAACTGCATTGATTCTTGGTGAGTGCTGAGGATTGGGTCCTGTGGCTGCTGTCACTAGCTGGAGGACATCTTGGAGTTGAGCAGAGCCTGGCACCATGGCGGTGTCAGTCGGCTGCCCCTGGGGACTGGTGGAATCTTCTGGGGCTAGCTACGCCTCTGGTTGGAACCCAGTAGCCAGGGACAAAACTGTCATGACTCTGTGACATCCACAAGGTACAGCCTAAGTTGCTAAAGGAATTTGCAGGTCAACTGGCTCAGAAGGTCGAGCTAGCCTACACCGTCCCTGAGCCCCTGCGTGTACTCAGATAACAGCAAATTGGGGAAGACAGCAAAACCCCAGTTAGCACGCTTCAGAAAGACCCTAAGCAACATGGAGAAGGCCAGAGACTCCCAGGACACACCTGTCTGAAAGAAACCAGAAACATGACAAGAGATAGAAATAAAAAAAAAAAAAAACCTCCAGCCACTGACCCTGGGAAAATAAGCCCAGGAGAGGTAAATACAGAAGAGAACCAGTGCAATAATCATGCAATATTAGACACAGCATCAGCGGACATAAAGAAATACCTTCGTGACCTCATAGACGAATTTAAAACTGTACTTCTGATCCAAGTGAGGCAAGATATAAAAAGATTAATTAAAGAAATGATAAGCCCCTCCCAAGAGAATACAGATGGAAGAATGGAGGAACTCAGAAAAAGAAGAGAAATCTTTGATGAAGAATATAAACAAAATCTAGAATACATAAAACAGATACAAAGAAATTACCAGGAAACTAAAAACTCCATTGAAAGTTGGCAAAATGCCTTGACAGAAACTAAAGTTTCTGTCATAGAACTACACAGCTGGAAGAAAGGAAAACTTTGTGACTTTAGCAAGTAAAGAAGTACAGCTCAAGATCAAGCTCAGGGGTAAAAAAGTTCAGCAACACTCAGATAGATAATACATTGGCCCCCTAATCTAAAAACTAAAGGAACTAGTGGGACCCAAAATATATAAAGTACCCTGAGAAAGGGAAAGGGGAGGTATTGTCTAAAAAAGGAAGGCGGAGGACATTGTTAATAGTGTATCAGGATTTAAAAGTCACAGTAGTCTTATTGTTCTGTTTAGTTTGATTATATTTTGTTCTGGTCTGTCTACTCATATTAGATTTGAGGGCACAGACAGCTAGCCCCAAAATAGCAGGTTATACCATGGTAACTATCCTTAATTTCCTATTAACTTAAACTTAAACCCTGTATTACTTACATTGTCTTATTATGACTGATCTTATTTGAAGCTGGTTTGTTAGACCACTGTTTTGCCTTGACTGATTTTATTCGAATTTGGTATGCTTGATAGTATCAAGTCTAAGAGTAGAGGCAACTACTCTGAAGATGACAAGATGTAAAAGATATCCATTCCAGTTTTGATTATGAACTGCTTTCAAGTCCTACAATGTCTTCAAAGTAGTGTTTTTATAAAAATAGCTATGTAATGCTACGCTTAACTATATAATGCTGGATGATGTGGACAAATCTATTGAAAATAACAAGAGAAAGTGTAAATAACTACTGTAGATCACCTAATATCGTGGTCTTATATGTCTTTTTTCATTTCATGTTTTTCTAGGAATTTGTTTTGTTGTCTTGTTTTGATCTGTTTTTTCCTATAATACAGAAAGGATAGATATACATGTAGATATTCACACATGGGAAGAATTTCTAAACTATTTACGGGAACAGATTATATAATGCATGCTGTAATGAACAGATACTCTGAAGAAGAAGAAACACTAAGAAACCCAATGCTAATTCTGTAGCATTATGATATAAAATCTAGCAATACTATTATTCAGGGTTCAGAGTGATATTAGTCTAGTCTCTGATGTTCAATTTCAGCATATGTAAAGATAAAGACAGCTACTATATAAAGAATGAGAGACATTATGGTAGCCATTATTAACTTCCCCAAAATCAGGTCTTGAAGACCTAAAAACCTTCATCATCCTGTAATGATTTGGTTAGTTCTATAATGTTCAGTATCTTGGGGGTATATTCAATGTGTGTGAAGATGGGGACAACTATTTGGAAGAAAACTAGAGACAATAAGATAGACAGTGAAGATCTCCAGTGGACTTGCTTTGAAATCTGTATTTCTTTAAACTGTTTCCTTATGAACTATTTTGTTCTGTTTTGACATGTTTAACCTTAACATCTAAGATAAAAAACAAGTGTGTAGGACTGATAACCATATTACTAAGTTTTTGTTGGATCATTGAGCAGAACTGTTTGCAGTGTCATTATTTGAATGTCACTTTGCATGCTTTAATTTTGTAACTTGAACAACTATTTCTAAGATGACAATATGTAACTTATCAACTAGTGATTTCTTACTGTTTATTTTTCTGAAATTCTGTATTATTTCTATCCTTTTTTTTTTTTTCTTTTTAAATAATAATAAAAAAAAAGAACCGCTGTTCAGAGAAGCTGAGGGTTGAGGTTTCACAGGTAGTTTTGGCTTCTCTGACTTTGGAAGGTACAAGAAGCTGCTCGCTAACAGTGACTGGCTGTTTTAGAATCAAATGGTTCAAAAAACAGTTTCTGAGAAAATGGCTCCATGGCAATGGTGGACTCTCCTGTGCCAACCCTGAAGAGCCCTGGGGCCTCCCCAGGAAAGGCGCTGCCTGCATACTCACCCAGCAGCTTGTACAGGAGGTTCAGAATTTCTTTCCAGGCCATTCCACTCTCTTCCCTGGCAATCCCTGTCAAGTGGGCTACACTGTTGTAGATATTCAAGCGATCAATGCAGTTTAACACAAGAGCCAACATGCCCTGAGGAGAGTGGAGGAAAAAGTAAACATTCTTGGAGAAGAAACACCCCACCTCCTGTTTCCTTGTCCCCTCCCGATCAGTCTCCTTGTAAAGTTGATAATGCTTATATGCAAATAGGCTTCACTGGGTCAGCTGAATATTTTTTTTCCTCTAGAAACAAAATGTGCATCTTTATTCCTCAGATACCTAAATAGCATCCATTCAGATAGTGAGTCAGCAGCCCCTTGTGATGGTTTGGCCCCATGTGTTGTGTTTCATTTACTCCAAGGACATATTGAAGAAGAGGAAGCATGAACGCATCTCACCAAAGCTTGCTCTGTGCCTGGTGGGAAGTGACTCTGAATCACTCAGAAGCAGCTCTGGATATAGTACCTATTTTTCTCTTAAATCTCAAATAAGCTCAAGACATTCCATTCAGATGCATATGACAACTACATGTGCTCCTTCCTGCCACCTCTCCTCACCAAAAGGTGGGATTTAGAGAAAATAAAACCAAAGAGCATTTTCAACTACTTTTCCACCTAATCTATAGTACTGTTGCACCTAGTAAAAACATCTGTGCCTAGCCACTCTTAAAGAGCAGCAGAGAGAGGGTAAACATAATCTCAATAGCATAAAGGTACATAGATTATCTCTACACTCAATTCCACTCATATCAAAGGCCTGAACCAGGATAGCTGTGTGTCCCACACCACTAACTTTGAAAATGATTAGCCCTGTCTGCAGGATATGGAGGGCCACAGAAGTCAGCCACCACCTATTACCACCAGATCCTCATGTCCATGTGTGGAGAGTGAAAGAGTTGCTGGCCCAGACCGGACACTGTAACCAGGAAAGGCTGCAGCTAAGTTAGAAAACTCCTGCCTCCCCCCGCCCCCTATAGACTTGACTGTAACCCTATACCCCTTCCCTAGGAACCTGCTTTCTGGCACTAAACGTGTGCCCACCGGTGCATCTCTAATGGCCTTAGGGCACTGCCCTAAGCTTAGGCTATTTAGATTCCCCCACACCACGTGTCCGAGAGAGAGATCGCCAGAGAGAGAGATCGCCAGAAAGAGAGATCGCCAGATTCCAGCGGCCAGTCTCCTCTCCCTGGAATAACCACGGCCCTGGGTGCAGTGGAGAGGCTGCGCCCGGGGCCGGCGGGGGGGCCTCTCCCTGCATTCCCGAAATAAAGCCACCGCTGCCCACTACTTTCACGGCTGTCCACTCTACTCCTTCCACGGACCTCGGACCTCCACCTCTACCTCCACCTCTCTTCTCTCTCCTCTCCCCCTTCTCTCAGACCTAACAGAGAGGGCGTATGACTTATCTAAGGTTACACAGTCAGGAAGAGAGCCAGAATGAGGGTCTGGGTCTCATAAGCACCCATAGGGTGTTTCTGCCATGGCCAGGGCCCTCCCCACTGACTCAGATGCTCAGGTTGTAACATCAGACCATGGAACATCTCACTCTTTTTAGCCAGTTTTTTAGACATTTCTGATGTAGAATCTAGGCAATTGCATTTTTTAAAGTAGGTTTCCTAGGTAACTCCGATAGCACTCAAAATTTGGGCTCTCTGCCTATGCCACACTGCAACAGCTGAGATGTTTTGCAAATGGATTTTATGTTCACACGTAGCATTGAAAGTTAAGACTTAACTGGTTAGGATGTGTCAGCCATCGCTAATGTAACCAGGCACGGTGAAAGGGAAGGCCAGCTCCCAGGAAATCCTTGCCTTTCCAGCTGTTTCATATTCTCCTTTGTCTCCACTGTGTTCATAAACGTGTACATATGGAGAACAAGCTAAATTGCATAGTACTCAATGGGATACTTCAGCTCTGGAATCACACAGAGACTGTAACTTTTGCATGTTTTGGACTTACCTCTTCCTTGAAAAGATTCTGCCGGTTTTTGAGGGAGCGCAGCTTGTTCTGCTTGTCTTCATGCTTCATCTCTTCCTCCGGAGGCTGGAAGTAGGCGATCAAGTCCTGTAAGGTCTGCAGGACTTCTTCTGTCGGCAGAGCGATGGGGGCAGCTGTGCGATTGTTTCCACTAAAAACAATGAGATGACAGCACAATGAGATGACAGGACTCAGGCAAGGGCTGGCAGGTCTGGTCCCTAAAGGGCCACTCTGGAAACAGTGAACTGCCCCCTGGGGACAGTCCCTGTAGCAACCACTGCAAAATGAAATGTGCCTACCAACAGAGCAATGGAAGAGAATATTCGATTTTAAAGCTATTCTGTAAACAAAGGGAAATGCCTCCTTTTAGCATATTTCTTTTCAAGTAACATAACTTAACCTGTTAAAATGGGTGTAATACTTCAGCACTCAGCATCAAACAGGTCTTAATGTGTAGTGATGATTTTTATGTAATGGGGATGATTATTAAGATTGTGACTTCTGTGTGATCCTCTCCCATTTATCCTTCATTATTTGCCATATTTTCTCTTTAAAAACACCTTAAAATAAGCTTATTAACCTGTATTTCTTTAAAACTTTGATAGTTTCTTCTTGGAATAGAACCACAATGCTGGAAGGATTTCTGTCACTGGTTCTCTCTGTATATCTCTACCTTCTGTGTCTCTCCCTGTGTCTGATAAATTCACATGTTTTTCTCTTCATGTTTTCATGTATCCTGTACATGCCTGCTTTTATCACTACACATATGCATGTCTTCTTTGCAGACCATAGCTGTTTCTCTTCCTTCCTGTCCTCTCCCTGAATTCCCTTCCTCCGCAGATTTCCCCTTTCTCAGGGTCCCTCATCCTTCCCTCGGACCCCATGGCTGCCGGTCTTGGTTTCTGGGGTCTTCCACCCCATTTAACCTGCTCTTCTCCCTCCCCACTCTCGTGCTGCTCTTGTCCTCAATGTGTATGCCTGTCTCAGATTTTAAATTCCTCAGAACTATTTTGTAATTAAGTCATTTCAACACAGAGAAGCCACCCCATCACCCTGTAACAAAATGCGCCTTCATTTTGAGATTCCCTGAGGGGCATACCCATGAGCCTCACAGAGGGCAAAGGGAAGGTAGGGGAAGAGAAAAGGGACCCAGTCCCTGAGGAATCATATTATTAGAGCTCAAGTGACTGAGAATTGGCTGAACATGCAAGTGACATCAGAGCTCCTTGCTTCTTTCTAATGACTTTCTTTTGCATTTATAATGCATTTGACTAGCTAAGTGCTGTTATATATTAATCTGGACACATGCTAAGAAAGTATTGTTTCTAGGCCTAAAGCAAAGAGTTGACAAGCTCTGAAAACATTAAGGGTGCAAAGTGATGAAAGTTTCAGTTTTGGGTTGAGGAGCCAAGTGCCTTACAGGAGCTGAAACGCCAGTGCCCTGTGAGCTCATTCCAGCCTGGAAGATGCCGATTGTCAGTGTGCACAGCTCCTGGTGAGACCTGCATGTGGCAGGTTCTTGGTAAAGTGCCTGCAGATGACCTCCTGGGATGTTACTGCTCACAAAGTGAGTGAGGGAAGAGAGGGTCAGAATGACACCAGACATAGGGGACTGGATAGAAAGCTCATCCCAGTATGGCTCCCTATTTCTAGGCTCAGTGAAGGCAGAGATACATTTTCCTCAAGATTTTGACTGAGTTCTAGGGCTTATTTGTTTTGTTCTCTAAATATTGGATTTACTAAAGACACTTAAGCCTATTAAGAATAATTTCTTATGTGAGAGGAAATAATGAAAACAGCAGGTTTATAGGCATTTTTGTAGCTTAGTGAAATCTCAAGATTTTAGTTCTGTTACTGCCATTAACCATGTATTTTGACTGCTTTTAACCCTCTTATGCTTCAGTTTTACATCTGGGAAACAGGAATGGCATACTCTTATTATTAGCAGGGTCCTCTCAATGGGCTCTCAATACTGAACACTTAATTTTACCCCTAGAGGAAACATCACTGTGACAGTCCTCCTCGGGACTGGCGCACAGGCCCTGCTCCTTTAAAGAACAGCAAAGGCCTTTTGCATGTCAATTAGGACAGTGACAAAAATGGGCATGCCCTCTTCATGGCCTTCAGTGCTCACATTCTAATCTAAAGCCCCAGAGATCAAAGGCACAGGGACAGGGACAAGGACAAGTGACACCTCAAAACAGAACTGCAGTTGGCATAGGTCTCACCCCAGCCCTCCTCAGCTCCCGGAGTCTGCTGTCCCACTGTATCCTTAGATCTCTGGCAATGAATTCTTCTTCCAAGCTCTGAGAGATTAGGTGATTCTGAATATTTATTTATCATGATCTTACTGTGATTATTTAGACCTTGTTTCCTTTCTGATATTAAATGTGAGGGCAGCTGACAGTACCATTTCTCTAACCAAGGTTTTGGCCACTCTTTAACTGATCACATTGTTCATTCCTCTACTGGATGGTTCCCAAAGGATGATGTGCAAATATGAAGGAATGTTAACTTTTAGAGTGCTTTCCCTATTCTTCTAATCTAGTTTTCTCCCCCAGGAGGCCGCTTCCCCTCGTGGTTTCCATTTATATGCAGCATGTACCTGTTGGTTTCTCAAAAGAAACAAGACAAGAGAATCTACTCCCAAATTATTTTTCCTTCCTTCATTTCCCAGCTCTTTAAAACACAACGTGAGGACTGTTGCAGCTCTGATACCTGTAGAACTGATTTTTTAATTAGTCATTCTTTCTTCTAAGACATCCGATGGCTGGAAGAGTTAAGAATTGTCCCATTGTGGGTAGGATTCCAAAATAGCTGTGGAAGTAATTCAGTAAATAATCTCACATACAGCTAGGATACAATTGGACAAAACAGTCAAACTATTTCAAGAGCCTGGAAACTGACCAAGGGCATACAACAAATCAAGAAATGTTCACTTAAAAAAAAAAGCTTGATGAACCTTGGTAAGGATAGTGTAAGTCTGTGATATTTCAGTCTGAGAATATTTCCATCTCCTCTTCAAGCAAACTGCATGACAAAAGAGTTCTGAAAGGGTGGAGTGGGAGGCCACATGGAAGGCCACATACGTGTTCAGGAATGACTACAAAGGGTCCTTACCATTTATTCATTTCTAACTGAATATGAGACCCCAGGCAAGTAGAAAGTAAACTCAAGATGGAACCATGAATTGCCTACACTTTAAATGTGGTATCCAGTGCCAACACAGGTCCACCAGCAAATGTTTGGAGGCTACCTTATGAGAAACACTCAGGCTGAGAAAAACTGATACCAGACAGTAACTAGGATCCACATAAAAAATAAGGAGCCCCAGTAAAGGGGATTTTGTAGGTAAATTTTAAAAAGAAAGGTTAAATATATAGTTTTCCTCCTTTGTTTTAATGGATTCAAAAATAATTTTATAGAAAAATTATAAAACTGTGCTGTTGAACTTATATGAAGACATACATGGCTGTATTATAATAAAGAAAGAAAAAGAGAATAGACCAATATTGAACCTAAGTTGCTTTACACCATTTGTTAAATTAGGATTAATTTGAAGTAGATTATTTCAAATTAAATACATATTGAATGCCTAGAGCTGTGATTAAGAAAAAGGTAGCAAATAAATCACCCAAAGTAATTAAAATGGTACATCAGAAAAAAAATTTTTTTTTTTTGTCTTTTTCCTTTTTATCGGTACCAGGGATCGAACTCACGACTGCCTGCTTGCAAGGCAGGCGCTTATGTTGCTGAGCTAAATCCCCAGCCCCAGAAAATATTTTTTAACTCAGAAGCAGCAATAAAAAATGCACAGAGAAATGATAACAATCTGATACGTACTAAACAAAACAAAACAAAACAAAACAAAACATCCCTACAGCAAAACAGTTGATATAAATCCAACCATTTGAAAAGACTAAATTTAAATGGATTAAACATACTAACCAAATGGAAAGATTGTCATACTATATTTTTTTTAAAAGACTCAGTATAAGACACACACTTTCAAAGACACAAGTTCAAATTGTACCATGCAAACAGTAGCCATAATCTACATGTGCTAGTGGAGGATAATTCTACAAAGTGGATTAAAAAATTCATAGAGAAAAAGGGAGACAGTTTAGAATTATGGAAGTCAGTTTTTCAAGAGGCGTCTGTTACTATTATAAACATACAAGCATCCAACAACCACGTCCAAAATATGTGAAATTAAAAGTTGTGAGAGAATTGAAGGGGAAGACACAGTTCAGCAATAGAAACATCAGCTCCCTATTCTCAATTGTTAAAGTAATAAATCACATTAACAAAGGGCAAAACCAAGTGACTTGCTCAACAAAGAAAGTCATTTGACAACTACACCACTCAATCAAGATAAAATCTCTCACCAAACTGGAAGCAGAAGGGAACTTTGTCAACTGTTAACAGTTAACATTATAGTTAAAGATGAAAACCTGAATGGTTTCCCCCTAAAATCACAAGCAAGACAATGTCTATTTACAACACATTCCACATGCTATGCATGTTCTAACCAGTGCAATTATGTAATTAGAACAAATAAAAGAAATCCCTATTGGGAGGACAAAACAAAAACACAAAACTATTCACATATGGAGTGATCTTGCACATAGAAAACTCTAAAGAATCAGAACCAAATTAAAGCAAAAGGTTCCCACTAGAATTAATAAAAAATTTCAATGAGATAATAGGATAAAGATCAATATTTTGAAAAGCTCAATTTCTACATAGCAGTATCTCAATAGACTAGTAATAAATAAGGATGAAATAAAAAATAGTTTGATTTGTACTAGCACCATAAAGAATCAAAAATATAGAAAGAAATTTCACAAATGGAATACATGGCATATTAAAAATATAATAGCTTGCTGAGAAGAATTACAGAAAAATAGGGAAGTCATTTCATGTTTGTGAATTAGAAGATATAATATTACTAAAAACAAGTCTTCCAAAACTGATTTAATGCAATATTTATGAAGATTCCACAAACATTTTATGACAGAAATGAACAAATTTACCCTCAAATTTATACAAAAATCCCCTAAAAGACCTAGAAGAATAAATACAATTTTTGAAAAGAAGCATGAAATTGGAGGACTTACTCTACAAGAATTCAACACTTACTCTAAAGTG